TAATGAACCTGAAGAAGTCGCAAATAAGATGGTATCATAGTTGAGAATTTGATAAAAGCATCATTACCAAATCCTTGATGTATTTTTGATTTTTTACTAACTTATTTCCTTAAATTGTTTTAGGAAAACACACTTGATTTGTTGTTTAGAAGTGTTGAAGATTTAAAGAACACTCTAAACAAAAGGATTGATGCTTTGGAGGATAAAATTGATGGTTTGTGTTGTGACGTGAAGGATATGTTCACAGTTGATGGCAGGAAAAGGAAGGGGGCGGTAGACCATGTGACGAGGGTTGAACGAAGGAAAAGGAAGGAGAATGGAAAGGAAGTATTGAGCGTTCAAGGGAGAAAAAGGAAGAGGATGGGAGCTCACTATCGAGGGAAGAAAAAGAAGGCTGATCAATGTGAAGAAGAAGAAGCGGTAGAGGAAAAAGTAGAAGAAGAAGAGGAAGAAGGGGAAGAAGAAGAAGAAGAAGAAGAAGAAGAAGGTGAAGAAGAAGAAGAAGAAGAAGAAGAAGAAGAAGAAGGGGAAGAAGAAGGGGAAGAAGATGAAGATGATGATGATGATGATGATGAGGCTACAAAAGAAGAAGAAGAAGAAGAAGAAGAAGAAGAAGACGACGTGGAAGTAGACGGAAAACAAGAATCTGAAAAAGAAGAAGAAGAAGAAGGTGGAAAAGGAAACTGGCAAGGAGAAGAAGCAGAAGAAGAAGGGATCAACGGAGAAAAGGTAAAGCAGGTTTTCGATATGCAAGCAGACGGGGGAGCAGAATGCAGTCAAGGCGAAGGTCAGCAGCTTGTCCAGAAAGCTGTGTATGATGTAAGTTTTTTACTTTTGAATTATTCTTGGATGTACACAGCTCTGTAACACTATAGTTGGGTGGGGAGAAGTGTCTGTGTAATTCATCTCATAGGCGAGAAGTGTCTGTGTTATTCATGTCATAGGAGATAAGTGTCTGTTTTTTATTGGACTAGGTGAGAAGTGTCTGTTTTTTCTACAATCCTGTGAGAAGTGTCTGTTTTTTTCTTCGACTAGGTGAGAAGTGTCTGTTTTCAAAGTTATGACCAGACATGATTGACATATAATTTTTTTTGCACTGTACATGTATGTAGTTGTATCAAGATAATATCATCAACACCCAAGAGTATGCTATAGCTTGTTTAACTCTTGGACCTGTTGAGCTTGTGTATGAGCAGGTGTGTATATTTTATGGGGCACACCATCCAATGCACTTCTTTAATCCATTTTATCTTGTAATTTGTATATTAAAAAATTATAGAAATTATATATTAATAATCTATATGTTAAGACAAATCAAACAAGATCACACATCACTATATTTAGGCTTACACATTGAGAGAATTTGATGAGTCAAAGTGCTTAGATGAACAGTTCCAAAAGTCAAAAGTGGACAAAGACAGTGGGACGGAGGTAGTACTATATAATGGACCATGCTAGGGTGCCACCATATGGGTGTTACCATGGGTGCACTCATGCTTCATATAGACAAACACAGACAATAATTTTCTGTGCGACACAGACAATTATCGTCTATGTTTATCTATGTGAAGCATGGGTGCACCCATGGTAGCACCCATATGGTGGCACCCTAGCATTTTCCCTGTATAATACATGTGTTGTTTAAAAATGTAAGGCAGAAAAACTAAATTACGAGTAAAATATTAAAAATATATCGAATTAAGGTTTTCATGTTTTTTATTCTCAAAATAGAAGTTAAATTGTATTTATATTATCAAATATAGTTATGTACGTTGCCAAAAAGCATAGTAATGTGAACATGTACAATGCTACATTACCATAGTGTGAACTCCTATTTCAGAAATAAAAATATGGAACTCCAATTTTGGTATTGTTTCTATGTTTTACTCTGGTTTAGGATGGTTTCTAAAAATGTAAATGATAGGAATCCCACTCCATCTTTTACAGTTTACACTAGTTGAAATATGAGTATGCATTCATTCTAACTTTTCCTCCCGTGGCGGACCCAAGAATTTCAGGGAGTGGTTTCACATTTTGTGCACAAAAAAATGTTGATATTTGTATAACAATAAATTTAAAACCTTAAAGGTAAAAAAAGTATCAATAAATAGCATTCTGGGATTAATATTGTGAATTATATGCAATATTTTTGATATACTGTATAAAAAATATAATACGCTCATTGTTTTAACCAAAAAAAATAAAGAACTAAAGTAGTAATTCTAGACATTTCTTCAAATACTAAATACTCCATCCGTCCCAAAAAGTCTTTCCTGTTTCATTTTTTGCGCATCCCATAAAACACTTCTATCCCGCCTTGAATGCCAAAAAAACTTTCAATATAAGTTCTACCCACAATAAAGAATTGAAAAAATGTTGTAAATTTTAGGCATGTTAGATGTCGCTAGAAGTATTTTATGGGATGCGCAAAAAATGAAACAGGAAAAACTTTTTGGGACGGAGGGAGTATATCTAAGGAATCATTTTAAAACAATTAAACTTGTTCATACATTTCAAAAAAAATTGAACATTTTATAATTAAGTTTCATAATGAAAGGTAAATCAGTTTTCCAAATCTAAAAGAATTAAAACATAAAATTCTACACAACTATATAATGTGTCCTCTCTTCCATTTTCAAAAAGTTACACCTAATCACATATAAATATACTCTCCTTGGATGCCCTTAGTCTACATATACTCCGTAATATCTAATTATTTTATTGCCCGTTAAACTTTTGCGGTGCTTTCTTCATTATATGCCACAAACACCACCGATGTCTAGTACTCGGGAACACAATTTCAATTGCACTTTTCATCGACCTATCTTGGTCTGTTATGATACAAGTGGTGGTATTCCATCCATGCACTTGAGCCATGTTTGAAATAACCACACAAAAGATTCTGTCTCTTCGCAACAAACTAAGCCACAACCTAGAAGTATTGATTGACCATGGTGGTTAACACCTACAAACGGTGCAAACGGCATATCGTACTTGTTCGTGAGGTATGTCGTATCGAATGTCACAATGTCTCCGTAGTACTTGTATGCAAGACGAGACCTCTTATCTGCCCAAAATAGGTTTTTTAACTTTGAGTCCTCATCAAGGTCCATGCTAAAAAAAAACCCGTCACTTTTAGCTTGCATTGTACAAAAGTATGCTTGTATGGCCATGGCACCTCCGCACAAAGCTTCACCCTTCGCACTTGCTCTACGTAGTTCCTACAATCCTTTTCAATAAAGGACAATTTATCGTACCCTCCTGCTTCAACCACTGCTGAGTTAAAGCTCTTGTGAAGGGGGATTCCTGTTGTATCATTCACCTCGAGCCTTCTTTTTATGTGGTCAGGCAACTTCCTGTTACAACGCCACAACCGTGACTTTGATGGACTAATGTCATGATTATGTTCCAAATTCGCCATAGTAATAGTAAAGACACCTTCATCATCACATGTTGCCGTAATTCGGGCTGTGCAACCACAATTAGATCGGGCTTGTGGCTTTAGACAATTCTTAGATCGGCTCACCCTATTACCTTCTCTACCACATGAGATTGTGATAGAACGTATTGTTCCATAACATCCCCTCCTCAAACTTCTCTTTTTAATGGGAAACCCCATTCCCTTTGCATAAGTATGGTAGAATTCATATATGGCATCATAATTCGAAAACTTCATCCCAACATCAGGGACAAGGCTTACAAGGACTGGGAGTTCNTATACTATGTACATTGTATGTCTGTGTTGAAATACTGTAAACACGTAGTTGTCTAACCAAACATATGGATATAACAACTATATTCGTCAAAAACCAACAGACCTGTCACAACACTACAATTCCCCTTATTCCAATTATTACATACATTAAATGTCTGTGACGCTCTAATTTAAATAATATACTGTCTGTGAAAAGAGAGTGACAAACAAAATAATCTTTTACCCCTTCGTGTTCCTTTTAAATATGGTTCAATACGACTACTACGAAAAATCATCATCCACGTACAATAAAGGACTATTTTCCCAAAAAATTCCATTCTTTAAGATTTTCACAAACACTTTTCATCTGTGTTAGAACTTCATATACATCATAGTCTCTGTGTGAGTTATAAAATTGAAAATTAGAATGACAGAGGTTCATAAACTGTTTACTGTACGGCATAACTTACCTGCAAACATAGGGAGGACCATAGGTTCTTCGTACATTATCACGCACACAATCCTACAACAAAGCTTCCAGATTGTGATGATGATTGACGATGATGGTGACGGAAACAGGTGTTGATGTGCGCGACTCTCAGGAACACGATGGACTTCCTTACGCCGTTTACTTCTTCTGCCGGCGACACAGGTTGGAAGGCCGGCCGTAACATCCGATGGCGTTCCAGTGGGAGAAATCGATTGTGTTAGAAATCTAAGGTAGTTGACGCCAGCGGAGAAATCGTGCCAGGGAAGAGAGGGAATGGGTAAGGAAAAAAGGTGGGAAACTAACGTGGGTGGGGAAGTGGGGGTGGGGAGGGTTTGGCCGTGTGGGTGTATATGGTGGTGATTTTGGGGTACCCGTACGGTGTACCCCTAGCGGGACTGTTAAATAAATTACATGTGGTGTGTGAACAAATAGGAGATCGGTCTAGATGCGGATAAGAGCTACAATATGCATATGCATCCTTCTGACACATTTGTGATAGTTAAAAAGATAGATTTGAACGCTCAAGATAATCAATTATTCACTACAAAAGAAATGCATAAGTTCATACAATTGTATTCTTTATTGTTAAAGCTACTTTGTTTATTATTTGATTTATATGTGTAAATTTGTAAAAATGCATGTTAATTTGCAAATTAGTCTTTGTTCTTAAAATTGAAGCAATTTAAATACATGGAATAAATTGCTCTGTAGAGGGACTAATTTAAGTAGAGAGAGTAAATTGCTTTAATTCTAACTACAAGAACTAATTTGCAAATTAACATACTTTTTTTTTACACATTTACACTTTGTTGTTACGGAATAGGGTATTGAGTAATCAAAGAACAAACAGAAAAACACAACAACAGATTTAACGTGGTTCACCAACGTTGTGTTGGCTAGTCCACGGGGAAGAGGGGGAGCAGTTTTATTTCTGAAGGAGAGGCAAAACAGAGTACAGCTCATAGGGTTTGTGGTAGCACCCATATAAATAGTGCTTCACTAAACCCTAACATACTTGGGCCCAAAACTACATAATTAATAGATAATTAGAAGCCCAATTAACTTCTCCGGATTCTGACTCCTCCGAATTCTGACTCCTCCGAACTCTGACTTCTCCGAAAACGGACTTCTCAGAAAACGGACTTCTCCGGATTCGGAGCTGTGATGGGTCAGATTCAAGGCATTTTAACAAATCTCCACCTTGACTTGAATCCTCCATACAGATTCTTCAGATGCACTCTTGATTGTGCCAGACCTCCCCCTCTTCCCCAGAAGTGCCCCGCAGGGCT